GCGCTATTTAAAGTGCCCTTCTTTCTCCGCGCTGGCTGTTATCGCCACGTTGATGATGTCAGCGACGTGGTTTAGTCGGGCGTGGTTTTGTCGTTCCCCCTTTTGACGGGTCACGCCCTGAACCGGTTCTCCTCTTGTGCCGCCATCTTGATTTTCAGTTATGCACATGCTCAGAACAATTTTCACTTCAGAAATTTAATCCCCCTACTTTTTAACGTTTTACGCATACACAGACCTTTTTAGATGCAAATGTGCATGTGCGCGCATGAAATTTTCAGCATGCGTATGAGCGAAGCGAAGGAAAAAAAATTGTGCGCGAAACCGGCAATAATGCCAGTAGCAAACTCCCGCACCCCTGCAGAAGATGCTTCCATGGCAGTGTTTCTCCTGCACGTACGGTACATGCTAGTCCTTTGATTTCTCCTAGCGTGGCCTTCAGGGCTACAATACCCAACTTTTATTCCAAGGAAAGAGATGGAAGACGATATGAGGCAACCCCAGCCTCTCAATTAGCTCCAATTTCCAAAAGATGGCTCGAGGATTCACATTAAATGCGAAGGCAGCCTCTCCGAACAGCTCCCTGCGATCCAGAATAATTGCCCATATCATTAGCATTCAATTAACATGAGTTATATTTCTCTAAGTGCTGATAACTGGAGCCCCCCCTGTATTGATGGATTGCGGGAGCTTCTCCTGGTTTGAAGTCTCCCCGTGATCGATGCTGTTTTAACTAGAACTGAAATTGAAATCTCTATTCCTTTCTTGACCAACTTGCCAACAGCCAAGCTGAAAGATCTTTCGCCCTGCCGAGAGAGTTACGGCCGTCATAAAAATAAGCAAAACAAAACCGAAGTCTACCTTCTTGCTATTTATATAAAGTCCTTCGGCCTTGCTTTGATCTCTCCGGCTGCAGCTTTTTATATTGTTATCAATCACGTTTAATTCCCCCCACAAAATAGCTTTCAGGGATTTCAGTTCTCCGCTTATCTCTCTTTTTCTTCAAGTCTCCCCTTTGGTTTTTCCGTTGAGTTTGTAATATCTGGTCAATATCTGAGTTCTATTTCCAGGGCTGAGTTTCTAATTTTAATAACTGGATTATTTTTTTCAAACGCCCCTTTTCTTAAGCGAGCCGAGAAATAATTGAGATCTGATTGGCAAGTACAGAACTGCCTTTCGGGCCTGATCCAGCTACCTCCTCCAATGATTTGCAGTATATTGTTAATTCTTGACTATTTCCGGGCATTTAACAGGAAGTATTTAGAAGAAAGTGTAATAATGAGAGCAGAAGGTTAGAAAGGTCTAATCCAGTACAGATAGTCCTCGACCTATGACCATTGAGCCCAAAATTCCTGTTGCTAAGTGAGACGGTGCTTAAGCGAGTTTTGCTTCGCCTTTCTTGCCACCGTTGTTAAGTGAATTCCGGCATGTTCAGTCAGTAATAGACTCTCGCTTCCCCATTGCTTGTCAGAATGCCGTACAAGATGGTCACATGACCCCAGGGCACTGCAACCGTCATAAACATGAGTCAGTTGCCATACATCTGAATTTCAACCACATAGTCATGGTCGTAACTATGAAAAACGATCATAAGTCACAGTGCCGTAGTTAATTTCGAGCAGCCGCTAAAAGAATGGTCGTAAGACAAGAACTTTCTGTAACAGCGAATTAATCAATGTAGCCTGAAAGCCAATGGGCGTCTTTATTTTTGATCGGCCCGAAAAGGACCTGCAAAAAAATCTCACCCTGGTGTCTCTTCAGACATTTAACGTTTCTCTTCCCTGAAGGCGACTGAGTCTCCTTTTCAGCCGGGATCATAAATAGACAAGTGGGGGAGACAATTGTTCAGTGACTGTATGCACGGCAGTAAGAAAACCCAGCTATTCTCTACTTTTAAAAAGGCAGCTTTGTTGCGGCATTGATTTTATCTGGCTCCTATTTGTTTGTGTCGAGGGATGTAACGTCGCATGAAAAGTGCTAAACAGGAAAGGCACTCGGAGAGGGCCTTATCGCTTAGCCTGCAATGACAGCCAAGCCAAGGATCGGAGAATACTTTATCTGTTCCGAACGGCTCGTTAAAATGTAGGAAATTCGTGCAGCCCTTACACATTGCGGCCAGCGCAGGGAAGCAGTGGCGTTTTGGGTTACAGCTGGAGGCATTCTGTTGTTGTAGAAAATGGCAGGACACACAAGACAGCTCTTCAGAGAAGGAACAGTTTATTTGCGCAGGTTCAGAATAAATGGCCTGAACAATGAGTGAAAGTCAGGAAATTCCTTATATAGTTCATCACTTTCAGCTAAAGCCATCTGTTAGTTTTGGAAACNAACAGCGCGGCGACAGAAGCACGCTGTAAAACTAAACCTAGCCCTAAACCTAACCCTAAACCTAACCCTAAACCTAACCCTAACCCTAAACCTAACCCTAAATCTAACCCTAAACCTAACCCTTATCTTAACTTAAATCACCCTTCTGCCGACGCGCTGTTGTAAATCGCCCTTCTGTCGACGCCCTGTTGTCGGCGCGTTAATGACGTTGCGGTTTTAGCGACGCGGTTTAGTCGGGCGCGGTTTTGACGTTCGCCCTTTTGTCGGGTCACGGTTTTTGCAATGCCCTGGTATTGTTCATGGGCCTCTCAGCCAAGTACAGGTAGTCCTCGGCTTACAACAGTTCATTTAGTGACCATTGAAAGTTACGGCACTGTGAAAAAGGGACCGATAACCATTTTTCATACTTATAACCATTGCAGCATCCCTATAGTCGTGTGATCGAAATTCAGATGCTTGGCAACTGGCTCATATTTATGACGGTGGCAGTATCCCATTCGATCATTTTTTATGACCACATGACAAGCAAAGTCGAGAGCCAAGGTGGCGCAGTGGTTAGAGTGCAGTACTGCAGGCTACTTCTGCTGACTACCTGCAATTTGGCCGTTCAAATCTCACCAGGCTCAAGGTTGACTCAGCCTTCCGTCCTTCCGAGGTGGGCCAAATGAGGACCCAGATTGTTGGGGGAGGCAAGAGGCTGACTCTGTAAACCGCTTAGAGAGGGCTGTAAAAGCACTGAGAAGCGGTATATAAGTCCCAAGTGCTATTGCTAGTGCTAAAGTCAACAGGAGAATCAGATTCACTTAACACACCGTGTTACTAATTTAACAACTGCAGTGATTCACTTAACAAATATGGCCCCCAAAAAGGCTCATAAAATGGCCCCAAAGCCACTTAACAAATGACTCACTTAGCAACAGAAATTCGGGTCTCTGTTGTTGTCGCAAGTCGAGGACTGCCTGTATTAACCAGATCCAAGCTTGCATAACCTTTTGAGATAAATCAAGACAGCTAGGTGTTACATCCTAGCTGGATGGGTGGATGAGTGGATGGATGGATGGATGGATGGATGGATGGATGGACGAACGGATGGATGGATGGATGGAGAGAGAGAGGTACTGTATATTCACAAGCACACACACAAGGTTTAATAACCAAGATCTCCCTTTGAAGGACTTTTGGCATCAGTGCTGAGAAACTCTCGAAACTGTGTGATCTACTTTCCACATGGAACAGAAATCTGGCTAGGTGAAGACATGGTGCGATCCAATATAGGAGAAATTCATATCATCCTACGGGCGATAAGGGTGGTTTCATGGAACAGTTTGTTTAAACTTCTCAGATGAGTAATAGCAGACCACGGACTAGGGCAGGATTATCCAACCTTGGCAACTTTAAGACCTGTGGACTTCAACTCCCAGAATTCCCATGACGGCTGGGGAATTCTAGGGGATGAAGACCACAAGCTTCCAAGGTTGGACACCCCTGGAATAGAATAGGAGGTTGAATTTATATTTTCCATTATGCCGTGCCGGAAGCCATAGCACTGAATTCAGAGACACCACACAGCTAAACCAACAAAAGAGGCAAATTCGGCTACCTGTGCATATATTACAGGTGTTCTTCTGCTCCTGTTGACAAGGAGTTTTGTGTTTCTGTTTTTATAGCGGTGGGAAGTCATTTCAACCTATTATTTGCCTTTTGTCTACGTGCTACAGGTGCTACTGGTCCTGGCTATTCAGTTGTTGTTTTTTTCTCTTGCAGCAATAATTGAGGAAGGATCTTTTTATTAATTTGTAATATGCCAATCTTCTCTGTATCGTTCCAATTTTAGTACATATGTGTTGCCGAAGCAAGCACAATATTTTATAATATAAAATACAAGATTCCAAAAGAAAATAATAGGAAAAATAAGGGAGGGAAAAGTGTAGGAAAGGGATGGGGGGGNATAATAATAATAATAATAATAATAATAATAATAATAATAATAAAGTCTTAAGTGCTGTTGCTATGGCTATTCATAAACATCTCCTCTCCCAAGGAGTTGCAGGGACCAGGATACACTGTGGGTTCCGCCTCACTGAAGCAGCGCTATTCATCCTTGCCTCACTCATCCAGCGCACCGTCGTGTCAAACGTTCGCAGGCCACATCTCTCATGTAAGTACTGTGTCTGCTCTGGAACATGAAACATTCAGGGGTGGGATTCAAAAATGTTAGCAACCGGTTCTCTGCCCAGTTGCTGGGTGGGCGTGGCTTCCCTCAAGCCTCTAGGAGGGTGAAAACGGCCTCCCCCAGGCCCCAGAGGAGCTCCGGAGCCTGGAAACGGGCTCATATCCAAACTTCTAGGAGGCTCGTTTTTTCACCCTCCCCAGGCTCCGGAAGCTTCCCTTGAGTTCCGGGAGGGTGAAAATGGCCTCCCCTGGGCTCCAGAGGCCGGAAACGGGTCCATGAATCAATTCGGGCATCTTTCGGAAACCTGACACTAGTGCTTGAGGGAAGAGGGCCTTTGTACTTGCGTGTTTCACCAATCCTCACGCGTCTTTTCCACACCCATCTTCCCGTACAGATGCCGTCCAAGCTTAAGTACGCCAAGGAGGATCCGCTGCGCGATTTAAAACAACTCCTTCAAGAGCTGCGAAGTACCATCGATGAAATACCTTCTGCCATTCTCCCCACAGCAGAAAGTGACAGCGACCCTGACTTGAGCACTACGCTGTAAGGATACGCAAAATATTGGTAACTTCTGTGTTTAGGATTCTCATTTTGGAAATGAATGGTCTATAGGCAAAGGGGGTATCCTTTGCCAAGGATAATCACAGACATCAATGGACATCTCACCTATGCTGAGTTTGTGTGAATCCATTGAGATTAAATTTTCCAAACTGAGCTCCGTCTGTCTTTACTTCCTGGACACACCCATGTTGTTCTTCTTAGCAACAGTCGAAGGATGACTTGCCACTGTCTTCTCCTGGGATGTTTTTGCGGTTCACTGACAAAAGGGCGAACGACAAAACTACGCCCAACTAAACCGCGTGTTCTAAAGCNCCAGCTCAGGCGGGCGAAATTCACTTTCTTTCACCTGCTTCTGTGTCCGTGGCAGCCCGCCAGCAGAGGCCGATGAAAGAGACTCAGGCATTTTCTCCTCTCCCCTGACACTCCACTGTCTAAAGCGCTTTCTTTTGCCCGCCTGTCAGAGCTCAGACAGTGGGGTGTCGGGGGAGAGGACTGCCTCACCAGCCATAAACCTCACCGCACGTCACTGACCGCTATTAATGTTGCGGAATTGGTACAAGATGTGTAAATAAATGGGATTGGATTTGCCTTCTGTTTGAGAGAACTAGAAACCACAGAAGACATAATTGGATTTCCCAAATAGAGTTCCTTGTTTTCTCAAAAACTGTTCTAGACAACTGGAAACCGGCTTAAATGCGACTGATAATACTGGACGTAAATCATGTCCCAAATAGTAAATAACTCCCTCCCGATTTTATCCAGGCATCTCTGCAGTTTGCGGAGTGTCAGTGCATCATTCAGCGGCAGGAACAAGAAGTCATGCGCTACAAGCTTCAGCACACATTAGACGTGAAAGTAAGTCTTCTGCTTCACCCATGCTTTCAAAAATATGTCAGAACCTTTACAGGTAGTCCTTGACTTAGAACAATTTGTTTAGCGATGTTTTGGGGTTACGATGGCACCGGGAAAAGTGACATGACCGTTTTTCACACTTACGCCCTCCCCCTCCCCGCAGCATCCCCATGATCATGTGATCAAACTTCAGAATGCTTGTCAGCTGATTCATATTTATGACGGTCACTCTCCCTCCCGCTCCTGCCAAACCAGCAATTCAAAAGTGGGTGCAAATAGCTAGATGGGTACCACTTCAGAATGCCAACTTAACAGCGAGGTGAAAAGGGCGCCCAGCTGGGCATCCCCTGGGCAAGGATCATATATCACTGGCTAATCCTTCCTTCCAATCCAGAAGTGCTTTGGTGCTCCCGACACAAATATTGCACAAATATAGGAGTAATATGGCACTTATGTTGTATTTGTGCTGATAAATAAATAAAGGGAGACTAGAATAGATCTATTTCAAGCTGTTTAGCTCTCATCAGCTAGCCATACCCTT